GACCCGTCAACTGCGTGCCCAGATATCCTTCTGACAAACGGAAATCGGACGGTCACCAGTCAGATTAATGAGGATCGTGTGATTCTCGGCTCTACTGGTCTGTCTCGTGGGGTACATTATTGGGAATTCACTGTCGACCGATGCGACCCCGGAGGACAGCCGGCATTTGGCATTGCTCGAGTGGACTGTAACAAAGAAATAATGCTCGGTAAATATTTACAAGTTTTTCTAGTTTCTCGTGAACCAGTGATGATTTTGAGTCCAAAACAAAAGTGACAAGGTTATGACTTTTAGAAATTTCCGATAATCACAGCAACCTATGTCAATAAAGGGTGGGTAAACGGTTGACAGATTGTTCACAGGGTGCATGATGTCCTTGAAAAATGCTTGGCAGTGATCCAGAGTTATAGGCTCATTGGGGGCCTAGTGATAACTCACACACACACATATATACATATATATATATATATAACAAAATATATTGTTTTATTTGACATTTTCCGGGAATTTATATTCAAGTCAGGTTATCAGTGACCCGAAAATTCCCGCAGATCCGAGTTTCGCACCTTTTGGGGCTCATCAGTAGTGCAACCCCGCGGGCCTATCTGGGATCGAACGGCGGAAGGTGGTGCTTCCGAAATTTTCAGTTCACGTTTCATTTGCTCCTTACACAATAAAATTCACCATAAAACTAAACAAATCCTCCTTCTTTTCTCAAGGCATACTTAATCGAATGGAATGGAATGTTTTCAACCGAGGGATAACCTTGGAGGCTATTGATAACATACTCAAGTAGCGATGCTTGCTTGTAATAGGCTAGTGAAATTGCGTTGTGCTATTTCGTATATAAAGGAAATGAAACCTTTCTAGTCATCTGCCTGGTAGCTGAGTTCGTAGCATGCTTGGGTCTTGCCTGTGAGGCCCTGAGTTCGATACCCAGTTAGGTTGGTGGATCCGCATTACACGTGAAACCAAACCCTTTTCAAAACATCTTAACATTGCTTCTCAGCTTTTAAGTTCGCTTTTCATCTGCTTTTTGCATGACAAATTTCTCCATCTAATTATCCCAAATGCTCCATTTCTCTCATGTGATATTGTGTCCGCTAACATTCGTTAGTATTGATCTTCCACGGACTCGGATATTCATGGTTCACCTGTTGTCCCTGACACGACAGTTGATTTCTGCTTATGCGCCAATTGGATTTGTGCCTCAAAAGAAACTAGGTCACCATCTGTTCTGATCTGCCATCCCCTGATTGGTCCAATTCCAATTGATCTTTTTGTTTACCTCTCGGCTAATTTCTGTAACAGTTTTTTTTTAATGAGAATAGAATATTCTTATGCTGCTTCATGTGGAGAGTTTTACATATTGACTCTCCAAAGGCGGACTCAAGACATTTTCCTGAGGTCATTTTTCAAGTGAAAAAGAAGTGATTCTAAAACGAGCAACTGTTCTACTCAAGATTGCTTAATCGTACTCTCTGGGAAATAATTTGAAAATATTCAAGCAGTATAACCCGCTGGTCTGAGCTTCGGGGTCCAAGGTACGAACTCTATCACCGTAATGCCATGATTTTGGTAAACATCACAACGCCACGTCTGTGTCAATTGAGACCTGACCGCGATTATCTGCTCTCACTTCTGGAGCCCAACTTGACGAATTAGATGAAGGAATATTGAAAACTTGTGACTATATGATTCACATCTTCTACGGCTCATGACTCTAAGGCAAAGCATAGAAATTTGTTTGTTTGTTTTTTCTTTTATATATTATTTCAATTTTTTAACGAGCAAAATATTTGGTCCATTTCGATTAACGTTGATCAAAAGATTGGTTTATGCTTGATGAAACATTTACAGGGTTGGATATGCGCAGTTGGTCTGTCTATTTTGATCATAAACGGAGTTGGTTCTTACACAACGGTGAACACTTTGAACGCACAGACGGTGGTGTACGTCCCGGTTCCGTGGTCGGTGTACGACTGGATTTCAATCGGGGAAGTTTGTCGTATTATTTGAACGATGAACCGCACGGCCCGATCGCATTCACCAACCTTCCAGCCGGTATCTATTATCCGGCTGTGAGCATCTCCCGTGCCGTGCAACTCACTCTGCACTCAGGCCTGGAAGCCCCGAGTGAAAGTGAAGAGAGTGATGAGGACAGTTCCGGTGGTGGGACGGGTACAGAAACCACATCGATGGCGACCACCGTGTTGGCAATCCCATCGAATAAACCCTATTCACATCAGATCAATCCATCTGGTCCGAAATCCTGAACATTTGAGTCCATTTATGTGCACTGTGCACTGTCGGTGAGTTCCTTCTCGCTTTGTGCGCACGCGCACATACACACACACACACCACATATATGCACACAGTATTCCAGTTTTGCTTATTAATTGAAGGTGTCTTTCTCCCGTTTGCATGATATCCTGTCACGGATGCGAGAAACGGTACATCCCCGTAGAATGAGGGAACGGAACTGAGTGAACCGTAAATGGACCGGAACGAGGAGGAATGTATCAAAAAGGCAGACCAAAAGAAATTTCGTGGCCTCCTTTATCCTGTATAAAGATAAACCTTTGCATGATATGACCGTGCCTTAGTGGACACTGCTAGATTAAATTGCCACGACTTAAACACAGTGTGTGTTGTAACCGTCTGGAGTTTTTGAATCTGTGGCTGAACCGGTAGTTTCACTTTGTTTTGTTTTCTGAATGAACCATGGGAATCATTCCAAAATAGCTGACATCCAGGGAATTATGGTTTTAAGCATCCTACAAATAATTTGAGTTATCGATTACCTTAAAATTTCGATCCAGATTCACATAAACATAATCATTGGGGATGAAATTTTCGCTACCAACTATCTCCATCGAGAAATGGCAAATAGTTCAGTGGTGAACTTCCAGCTCCAAGATTCCAGCTTCGAAAGCTCCTCCGCCCCTCACCAAAACTATAAACACATTTGGTTGATGGAAATTTCGCTGTTATCCGGTTTCATTATCACGCTGATCTTGTCTCATAATTACTACGATTCGCTAGAGCTTATCCCGCGAACTAATTTGATAGTTTCCACTAGGGAATTGTCTGTTTTCATAATAATTGTTCACTGCGTCACGAAATGTAAAGACAACTGAAAAATAGCTGGATAAAATGATACTTCGAAGATGTGGTTCACAGAGAAATGCATTCATTTAGTAATGCCCTAAATCTCCCATGGTGCACGTGAACCAAGATTTCCTACCTTCTCTAAACCAGATTTAGTAGTAGTGGTTGTGGTGATGACGATGGTGGTGATGCTGGTGATGATGGTGGTGATAATGACGATGGTGGTGGTGGTGATGATGGTGGTGGTGGTTGTGGTGGTGGTGGTGGTGGTGGTGATGATCATCGGCAGTACGCAATTTGATCTCCTTGACATAACAAAACAAAGTTGTATGGGCGTTCACTCTACTATGGGGCAAGTGTTTGAACTCCAGGTCCGAATGTTAACGATTCGAGTATCGACAAGGAGAAGGGAACGTACCAATACACTGTAAACAGGATACAAAAAGAATACAAAAACAACTATCTGTTCTCGTTGATGCAAAACTAAACTCTAATGAGTATGTGAACCCTAAGAAGCATCTCCTGGAATGGACACCACACAGAAAGAAATCCACAAGTGACTCGCCATTTCTCACCAAGGTCAATAACCCCAAGTTCCAACTAAATGAACGAATTCCACTTCCTGATTTGAGAAGAGTACTATAAAACGGTCAAAATGTGTCAGTTTAGTGGTTTACATAGACAACACTCACGCACACACAGGGAGTGATAGCCATCACGGGTTGCGAGTGTTCACTGAAATATTTATCATTTTGTCAATCTTCTCTTGAGCATGTGACGGTCAGTACTTAAACGGGGTCATGAAAGCCATTACAATAACTGGTTTCGAAATGAACCGCGCAAACGTTATCCTTGGTCTTGTTAGTTTTGGAGCTCTTTCCTTATTACAAATGATCTTCTTCAAAAGGTTTATTATTATTATGATTTAATAAATATGTTCTTTTTCTACCGATTGCCTACCTGTTCCCCCTTCGAATCGTGTAAGAAAAGGTATGTCACAATTTGCAAACTGCGGAAGGCGGTGAGTGAGTGAGCAACATCGATCGCACCCATTAGAGCATAGTGAACGTTGTCAAAACGTTACCACATTGAGTGCTGCAATTTGTGTATACTTTTTAAAGTGTACCGACTTTTCGAAAATGAAAGCAAGCATCTCACGGTAAGAAAAAATCTCAGGCACATTGAATGTAAGCCCTGGATTCAATTTTAATGTCTGAGACCATTTGTTAGTGCAAGGCCATTCGAACAACTCAGTGCGGACAGCTAACTATTCCCGATTGTTTCTGTGATTCCAGTTGGGAACTTCATGTGTATCGATGACTTTGTCAATTTAATTTTCCGCCCTAATAAGCCTGTACAAGTGATTATCGAAAAAAGAATCGTTACTGCATTTAGGAACTCAATTGATCACAGTCTTAAAACGGCAGATATCAATGAGATAAATGGGTGGCTACGTCACATCTATCGGAGAACCGGTGAAATTAGTGTGTGATGTAAATTTAGTAAACAATTGAATGGTAGTGTTTCTATCTGTCACACTCTTACAGGCGCAATGTTTTATAACCGGTTTCATGGGATACTAAACTTCAAATGTGAGGGGAGATTTGAATGAATTATTCCCATTTATGTCACACTATTGCAAAAACGAGACTTTAGTCAGGTTTCTGAAGCAAGCAACAGTGAACAGAATATACCAACAGAAAATAGCAGGAAACATTCCCACTCGAGCTGCGTAGTTTCGATTTGTCGTCACAATGTCATTCGGCTGTATGATTCAAGGCTGGGGGTGTAAGTTATGGGAAATTTCCATTCGTGAACAAAGTTGCCATATGCATTTTGAGTTAGACTGTTTTGGAACCGGTGGTGTCCCGGTGGCAACGCGTCACCAAATTGTCACTCCGGAGGACAAGTGTTCGAATCCCACCACCACCACCACCACCACCGCCCGACTTTTCCCATTTGTGTGTTGTTGGCCGTTTCCCCCTCTCGTGAAAATTGTATCATTGTGTATTCAACAAAAGGAAGTAAAAATGAAAAAGAAAACAGACCTGCTATGTTTTGCGCCGCGTATATCCGTTGTCTATTATTAGGTCGCACAGCACTATATCGCAGGAGAACATCACAAGCGCAAAAGACAAGATATAGCACAGTAACGATAGTAGCACACGCGAAATGAGAACAGCGGACTAACACTAAGTCCGTGAGCGGATGATAGTTTTAGGAGCGGACGCTGCCTGGGTGAGACACAGGATGTACCGTCGGTTATCGATCTCTCAGGCCTCCCAACACGCGAGAGAGAAGACACGGCTTCAGCAGAGCGAGATTTTGATGGCGTTGAGCACAAATCACAAATCACGAGTGGTGCGTCACAAGTTAATTGACAAGTTCACTCTGCTGCTTAACTGTGACTGAAAATAACATTGATCAATGCAGGAGAAAGAATGTACCAATGAAATGCACAGTGAGCAATGTTCAAACGGCCATAGGCTGCGGATCAGACTGACGGACGGAGAGAGTGAATATTGCCGTACGACGCAATATTATTGATTTATCTCCGCGAAATTAGTAATGATCCGAGATGACCCAACTTCGGTCGAATGTGTGGTAAAACTGTTTGACTTCGATCACTGAATTAGCAAGTGTGCGGCCGGGCTTATCGTGGGACACATGGCGTTGATCTTCGTCCCAACAAGAAACGAATGTAAATGAATTTCGAACGGCTAGTCGTTGTACCTAAGTCATTGTACCTAAGATATAGTCATGTGTCTATTCGAGTAACCAATCGAGATTATCCAAACTATTCGTGACATCACTTTGAAATGAGTACTGCGGTGTAGCTAATAACATCGACCGCTTTTCGGGATATTTTTCTCATGTTACGCACGAGCAGATCTACAAGAGCGTTTAATCGACTAAAATTAAATGATCAGTAATTCCCTTGGGACTCAAGCCAGCGCGTGAGTACACCACTTAACCCGCCTTACAGTCTATAGTCTATCAACTGCGTTACCAGTTCATACCAGTTCACTGTTAGATGAAAAGAAGACTTAAATTCATTCGCGAAACACGGTTCGTTGAACAGTCCTCTTCTTTCTAGAGTACATTTGTGCACTCCAGCAGATACTGGGTAAAACTGGTGAATGGGTTTCAGGCTGCCCGAAGATTGATTCGTTATATTAGGTGAGTATCGAAGTGTCAGATACTACAAGCTGTAGTTTTGGTCTCTTAGTTTAAACTATACAGAAGCTCATTGGGCGTGTGCATGGCGTTGGCTGTAGGCGCCCTTGGGTACCTGTTGCCTGGGGGGACTACTAGTACCGGCGAAGTTAGACAGGGATCGATCAAATAGTCTGGAACACCTTGATTCATACGGAGTGATGATAAGCACCAGAAACTAGGTAATCTTAGCTCGGTAAGCAATTAGCCATTTTTAAATTATCTGTGAATAGGAAGGACGTGATAGCTGTTGGCCTACTGCGTAATCGGAGTGATAACACTGTTGACAAAATGTTGAACATTGGTTCTCGTAGCTCGGGTGAACTGAATTCCATTTCGCCTGTTCGCCGAGCTTGGAATTTGTTTGCAAACGTTTCATCACCAGCCGAGGTGACATCATCAGTGCTTGTGAAGTGGCAGTCTTCTGTTTGTGTCCATTCCTTTATATATGTGTTCTTCTTCACCTATTATTTTTGTTCCCTGACCTCGAGAAATTCTCTGGCGTGTTTTGACCGGGCTTGGTCGATAATTCTCAGTGATTCGAAGTCAAATTGATGTCCTTCTTGATCTTCGTTGAGGGAGATCAACGATAGTGGGTCCTGTCTCCTGACTGCCAATTGTTGTCCACGGATCCTTGTTGACGGTTTTCTCCCAATTTGCCCGATATAGTGTTTTGAACAGTTCTTGCGGTTTATTTTGTAGATAGCGCTGCTCTTCTCCTTCTCCATTGTTCTCTTCTTGGGTTTTGATAGAAGTCCCCTTAAACGGGCGATCGGTTTGTGGGTGACTTGGATTCCATATGATCTGAGCAGTCTTGCTGTCATTTCCGAAACGGCCTTGATGTACGACAAGGTCGTTCTTGTTCTCGGATCAACACTGCTACTGTATGCCTCTGCCAAATTTAACCGAGCAACTTTTGAGTATCCAAACCGGCTATAGGGGATACATTTTAAAAGTTGTTTGGCAATCCGTTAGCAAGTTATGCGCAACACGCTACACACCAAAGAAGAGGTTATTTTTAGGATAGTAGTAGTATCTATTTCCACACTTACTTTCTATCCGCATTACTTTTATGGTTTGCATCTCTGTACTTCCATAAAAGTCATTCGGAAACCCCATCTGCGATCTACCTAGCCCTTAGTAATTGCCTAGCCACAAATAGGAGACCATTTTAACCCTATCTGCGTGTGTCTGTGTGTCTGTACGTAGCCATCAGATGGCCCATATTCTTCATTTTTCTCTATCGTCATCAAAACGGTCGTTGTGTCCATAAATTGGTCTCCCTGACCAAACATCTGTTTCGGAACGTTTCGAGTTTTTCTTTTTTCATTTCTGTGCTCTTTACATAGTTCATAATTCTAAGT